TCCGGACGCGCCACATCACCCGGATGCACCGGGCCCTAAGTGACGTGGCGCGTCCGGATTCGCCTCCGGACGAATCCGGACACCGCACGTAATAATTTGCCGTCAATCACACTGGTGAAGTAGTCAATATCTCAGGCTGTTGCTGCGCATTGTTTCTGAAAAATGGCAAATCAACAAGAGGAAATGAGAAAGCCCTCTGCTTTTCATGTGGCAGTTTCTCAAATTCAATAGCTTGTTGGCCATCAACAGCTTCCTTCCCATCTCCTTCAGCAAATTTAAGGTCATTGAGAGCTCTTCTTGCATAAATGGTGAAGGCTACAGTTAAGACAACTGCAACAACAAAGGAGAAGATATTGTAAGCTATCTCCAGAGGTCTCATCCTGTAACTTCCATATTGCATGTCGGCTAGAGTTCGAATCAACCGCCCGCTGTATCAAGATAAGAAAAGATGGATTAGGAAGAAGATTATTCTCAAATTTAGTGTTGAAAATACTTATGGCCCTCCAATGATAGTTGAAGAAGATGCCAATCTCAGCCTCCAACTCTTTCATTGGGTTGGTTTCAGCATTTTAAGAAGTTTAGTAAATTGTGGTCTTCAGATTGAAATAAACTTTTGAAAGAGTTCTAATAAATTAACACAACATATTTAGATGTTCAAAAATAAGTTCATTTGAACTGTATAATTTAAATGGTTAACTAAAAATTACAAAAGAAGATGATTAATTAGATATTTAAATAAATATGTGTTCTTTAAATAAAAAAAGTTCAGAAAAGGTTCAAAATCAACCAAAACATTTCCCCATGATAATTCATATCATTCGGCTTATCCCAATTTTTTGGGGGCAAGCTATATGAATCCACGTTTCTAATTTTTTTTAGGCTTCGTTTGTAACAGTTTTCTTAATGCTTTGGAAAGCTATTTTTTAATACAAAAATCTCTGAAAGCAGAGAAAAAGTTGTGGTCTAAAGTTGTCCCAAATGAAGCCTTAAACTTTAAAATAACGGCAACCTCATACTAACCCTCGCTACCTAGTGGTGAAACCAAGGAGTTGGGTGTGCCTATTGCCCTCTTAAATTTGAGAAAAATCTCATATAACTATGTATAATATGAAAGTTTTACTTTTAAATTCTCATATAATTATGTATGTCATAGAAACTATCTCCCATCAATTTTGGGTAAAATCTTTTCATTCCCTTTCTCATTTGAAATACTAATTCCACCATTGCTCTCACCCTTTCAAAATCCAAGTTTGTGACCGAGCAAGATGGTTTCTTTAGTAAAACCTTGCCCGACCAGACAAAATTCTCATACATCACACGTGAATAGTCTCTTGACTAGGAGCTATTATTCTGTGCGGACACCGGACGGGAGAACCGTCCCGTTAAATGCTGGGTACCCAGCAGTACCGAGGGGTATCGAGCGTGGGTACCAAGCTGGCTACCCAGCAATGGGGTAACGTGGCGCATTTTTATTGGTCTCCGGACACCCTCCGGACTCCGCACAGAATAATAAATTCTTGACTAGAGCCAGAAAATAAGTAGAGATGAAAAGTAGTCTGACCTGTAAATGTAGATGAAAGCTTCAGGTATCATCCCAGCTATGGAACCACAAAGATAAGGCCCAAACCTCATATCTGTAACCACAACACCATAGTTGAATATTGTGTATGGAAAAGGAGAGATTCTGAAAACCGCAACAACTCGAAATTGTTGAAACCAGTTTCCTTGTCCAGCTAACCGTATTACAGATGCCTCTCTGGGCCATCTCATCAGCCATGCCTGCATTTCCACCGAACATTTCATGAGTTGGTTGCCCTTCATGCAAAACATTTGGCTCTTCTTGATTTGCAGGAGTTGGAGGAAAAGTATATGCTAGTTATAATACATGTTGGGTATTTGATTTATTGTTAACAGGACATGAGATTTACTTAAGAATTGAGATCAAATACATATTCCTTTTTACAATTTTGAAACCTACTAAACTGCAAAAAAACATTTTTATCGGACATTACTGTCACTTACATGCCCATTCACATGAGAAACAACAACATCAAATCTTTGTCCCACTACGTGGGGTCAGCTACATGAACTCTTTTTCTCCATTGTGTCTTGTTAAAAGTCAAATTCTCGTTTAAATCTAATAAAGAAAGATCATTTCTAATATTTTCTAACCAAGTCTTTTTAGGTCTACATCTACCTTTCTTAACATAAGTCAAATCTAATACCTCTACTTTCCTAACCGGGTCATCGGAAGGCCGCTGTTCTATGTGACCAAACCATTTAAGTCGACTCTCTCTAATCTTATCTTCCGCTGGTGCTACTCCAACCTTTTCACGTGTATGCCCATTCACATGAGAAACAAAAAATTAATTTCCTCCAATCAGGAAAGAAAAGTTGAGACCTCAGCCAATCAAAGAAGTGGGACAAAACAACTTTCAATTCAATTCCTTCATCATTTTGACTACCATTGCCTTAACATTTTCTTTGCTGTAATTCCTTCAAACCAAACAAATTGTTTGTGTGATAGAAGAAAGTGAATGAAAAGACTTACATGTAGTCGTTCGCGAAATAATGAGCCAAACAAATATGGCAAAACCATACCAATGGTAGTTCCAACCATGATTATTATAAATCCAAACCCATAACCAAAGATCATTCCTGCCAGCCACATGGAGGGGCCTGAAGGAAGGAGAACAACTGGGAAAAGAGCCATAGAGGCCACAAGGATGAGAGCAAGAACGGGCCGACCAAATGCAGTTGCTTCCCATTTCATAAGTGGAATAAGAACCTGCAACATAGTTTTAAGGCATAAAACAGTCGATCCTTAGAAATATCTTTGTATATATATACAGGAGTCCACCATCAGTTAGTAAATAAATGACAAGAAAGCTATGTGATTAGCAGTACTAAATTCAACTTGGACAGTTTAATATGTTAGAAAATAAGCCATAAAATCATTATTAAAGCGCTTAAATCTTATTTAATTACATCACAAAGTATACACCAACATATCACCAAATCAATTGATGGGAATAGCAATAGGAAAAAAGATTTTTTGAGCACACAAAAACTAAGGACTTGTAAAGAAATTCTAAAGCTGGTAATACCTTCTCGAAAACAAAAGGAATAGCCCATTTCACAAAAAAGAAACATAGTATTATCAGAAGCAAGCTGCAAAGTAAAGCCTTCATCCACCACATAAATGATCTGCGCTTTGTTGTTTCATGGATTGATACTTCTTTGGTAACATCTGTACTAGTCTCGGCAGGTTTAACAAGCCTTGCATACTCATTTTCTTCCCTTGATTGTAGTTCATTACTTTCAATAATCTTACTGAAATCCTCAGGTGGATTGATCATCTTTGAAGTTCAGAAATCTGCACAAAAAATTGAATGAAATCATAAAAAATGAACAGGAAAACCTTAATAAAGTTAGTACGCTAACTGAAGTCTTTTTTATGGAAATTAGCAACAAAAAGCACTAACTTCAACCCCTAGCCTTAAGTAATATATTGGCTTTTAATGAATCATGATGATACCCATGAAGAAACAAATATTTTATGATTACTGAATGAAATAAGAATATGAAAGAGAGAATCATTATCTGAACAAAATGCATGTAGCAGCTTGAGGATCAGACAACTATTATGTATATAACTCATCAAGAAATATGAGGCATGGCAACATCTAAATCGAAAGCCTTCAGACCATATTTTCTTGTGTTCAAACTGCAAGTGCTAAGGATTCAAGAGATACTCGCGAACGAGCACACCACCACCACCACCTTCATGAACACCAAATATCTAAGAAAGTGCTCTTCAGGTGAAGAAATCTATCAGCTCCAATGGTCTTGATGTAGAACAAGACATGTATTAAGGTTACTTTGGTTCATTTTAGCTATTTTGAATTATTTCTTAAATCCGATTTCTTTTATAAATTTGAATTCCATGAAGAATAATAAATTAGACTATAATTTCATTGGGATTATAAGATTTATATTGATTTAATTTTGAAATAGTTTAGATATAAACCTATCACTATAAAAAGGAATAAGAAAGTCATATGCTTCATTATTTACTATTCAATGTGAATTGAAAGCAACTCCTCACATCAAATCTCCTTTCATATCACATATTTCCTCTCTCCTAAAATTGTAAAATTAGAACTCTCTCTCCTCGTGAAATTGCAAAGGCCAAATCAAGTTTTGAAATTACACAATTGGGGCCTTGAGGTGTTTTCTTCCTGTGAGTCGAGGCATAAGCCTCACGGTATTTGAGGAGTAAGCCTCAAAATTAACTCATAACATTAATAAAAAAATATATATAATAATAAGTAATATACTAACATCAAAGTAAGATATTAAATTAAAATTATAAAAAGTCAAAGTAATACCATTAAAATCATAAAAGGCTACAAACAATGGAAAATAAAAAGTATCTCCCACTCTTAGTTCAACATAAACAAATAGCCTAAAATTATAATTTATGAATTCAAAAGTGTCCCGCATTCTCATTACTTACAGGGTCTTCGTTAGAATCATCATTACAATTAATTACTTTCCCACTTTTCTCATACTAAAAATAAAAAAAATTGATTTCTAAGAACACGAGGAGAGGCATTGGAGGAGAAACAACAATAGCGTGCAATAGGATCGGTTTATAATATATTGATAATAATTTTTACACACAAAATCCTCACCTTCAATCGCTAATCGGTTCTCCCATACATTAGAGCCAGAAAATAATTCTACTATTGAGAAGTCCAAAAGATTATCCATGTGTCATGATTGCATCTTTTACCATTTACATGCATGGCACTTCCCAACACTTCCCAACCCACTTGTATTGGTTGACAATCTATATGTGATATCAAATTATGCTTAATCCTTTACATATCAAGAGCTCCATCTATAAAGCCATTTAGGAAAAAGTATCTATCTATGCAGCTGATAGCCAATAACAGAATGATGGAGAAGCACTAACCCTAAAATACATGAAGAAGTTGCATTTAAAAAAAAATCCAGCATCCTCAAAAACACTCGTTTCAAGCTTGTAGGGCTCTTGAGTAAGAAGCACTAGACTGAAGGCCCCTCAACTATTAAGGAAACTGTTTCCTTTAGCAATTAATGGGCATACAGATGAAAAAAAATATCTTCCTCAAGATTTGGAGCCTGTTAATGGATTCTGTTAGCTTTATCAATTTGTTAGAAGAGCTATATATGACAAACCCTACCAGAGAAAATAGATGACCTTACTTGAACTTAAGGAATATAAAAAGGAGAGGAAGATAGAAGAGGCAGAAGCTGCACTACTATTTTGTAGATATTATTTAGGTCGCAGACCTAAGGTATCCTCCAGAAGATCAAATATTAACTCATGAAGCGTCAAAAAAATACACAACTCAACTCCAAATGCTCTTCTTGAAGCTCCAGAAATCATCTAAGACCAAGAAGAAAGGCCTGCAACCCTAACAGACCTGATCCAGTTTCCAAAGTTACATCTAGATTGAAATAGGGTACAAATTCTCTCTCCTTTTCTTTCCTATTCATTGAAAGCAAACATCCTGATTCCTAGGGGAATGATCCACACAAGCGAAAGCCGAAATTTTTATCAAAACAGGAAAGATTTCGTACCCTAATTCCTCGGAGGACTCAAAATACCAATTCAAAGAGAATTTTTTTTCTTAATTACTTCCGAGAATTAAAGCAAACATAAAAAAAGGAATTTCTTCAAAAAATAGCGAGGAGAGAAGAGAAATCAATGTTACCGGTGATGAATCGATGAAGGAAGAACGCGAATCCGTCGCCAAGAATGGTAAAGAAAAAGTTGAAAGGGCAGCTTAGAAGAAATCAGAGCTCGGTGGGCGTTTGGTGAAGCCAAGAATTCAAAGGTGGACTCTCCAAATTAACGTTTTTATTACTTTTACTAATGATTTGTTAATGGAAAAGCGGGAGAAGATTTATTTTGGCAAAGTCTGCCAGACTGCCTGGACAGAGACGATTAACTCACTCTTACAAATTCTGAAAACGCTAACTTTTTCTATAATTTGTATTGTAATCCAAAATGGACTTTTCAACAACAAAAAATTTAAAAAATAAAAAATAGTAACGATGACTTTCTTCGAATGCACTCAGGAGTCAGGTGGCATCGGCTTCTCAAGCAAGTGCCTTGCTTGCCCATGAAGATCCTTGAATTTAGAAAATTCTTTTGTGAAAATATTTTTATTTGTTTTTATTCTTATAGAGAAGTGAGTGCCTTAAAAATTATTTTTGGTGTTGAGGTTTTCATGCAGCTCATCTTGACCTCTTATTTCAAAGTTTTGACTTTTAATTATGCAGAATTTAATGAAGTAAGAGCCTCATGAAAAAAAACCAATCAATCAAGTGGTGAGCTAAATGAATATATTTATTGCTACTACTTAAAAATAGTCATAGAAAAAGCATGCATACTCTCGGACCCGTGTAGGATCCATTACCAATTATAAAGCTCAAGTTGTGAAAAAGAAAAAGAACTTGAGAATGATAAATAGTAAATAACGAAGTGTGTGATTCAAACTCATGAACTTTGTTGAATCTAGATTTGTCTAAGGTGTGGTATAAAAATCATATTCCTAGAACTGTGAGAAAGGGGGAAAAGAAAAAATATGAGAGAAGGGTGTGAGCTTATGAAGTCAAAAGCCAAAAGAAAGACTTTGAACATTAAATTGCTAGTATCAATTGTATAAGGAATTGGATATAGGCCCAAATTTTTATTCTATGAGACTAATAATCTAAAGAGCGGGGAGAGAGAGAGAGAGAGAGAGAGAGAGAGAGAGAGGAGAAAAGTCCCAAAAATGATTTTTTTGCTCTTTATTTACAAGACTTTGGGCGCTCCAAGAAGGGCTAAATGATATGAAAAATATAAAATTCATACATGAAATATATGGCCTAAAGTGTAGTTAGCTATGGTACATCAAACACATAGGTAGCTAGGTTGATAGACATTGCAAGTCTTGACATGCATGATGGTTGCCTCAAATATTGCAGGAGGACTGTCCATTAGTGATAATTACTCAATTGATGAAAACATCTATCAATGGTAAGTACTCAATTGATGAAACAACAATGATGCTTTTGGAGGTTGTCATCTTTATGAGAAGTTGTCACCTTAAACAAGCTACCCATTGAAGTCGTTGATTCAGTAATAAACCACATAGGTCATTGAATCGTTGAAGCACATGTCACTTGTTGGGCAGAGTGGCTAAGGTTCCAAGAAGCCCTGAATTGATGAGCTTGCTAAGCACTTCAACCAATGAGGCTTGAAATTGGCTCTGAAATTTTGGATGAATTTTTAGTGCCTTGATTCTCTTCTATCTTTAAAGAGTCGTTCATAAAAACAACAAGAGAATATAAAAATTAAAAAAAAAAAAAAAAAAAAAAAAAATAAAAAAAAAAAAAAAAAAAAAAAACATGAATATTTTTTGTGTCAATGGTTTTAATTATTTAGACTTAACAACAAATAATAATTTTTATACATAAAAAATTCTATGAATACTTCCTTGCTCAATCACGCTTATTCTATGACTAAGGAAATTCTTAGCCTTTGTAAAACCATGCATGCCAAAGTTTTTTTTAGGCGATACATAGCTCCTTTCTGGTCCAAAGAAAACCAAAAATTTGGGGCTAAGGAGGCTTACAAGACTTTTTCCCCTAAACCCTAAACATCTTCAAGGAAGAGAGGGCTTATATTACTACCATGAACAAGTTACCTAAGGATATTTCTCCTACAAAAGAGCTTAGTGTTGGCATTTTTCATCGAGCTCATCGTGTATGGATGTTGTGAAGAGACCTTTGAATGTTCCTACCCCTACAAATTCAAATGGACGTGGCAACTTTGACTTTAAGCATAATAGTTGTGAGGCGGGAGTTTGCCAACTTCAAAGTTGAGTATCATATCAAGAAGAATGAGATGACCGAGAAGATTACCGACATCTAACATTTTATAGAATCTAAGAAGAATCACCTAGCGATTTGATAAAGAGGCTCACATAATTGAGAAATTATTTTGTACAGATGTCGAACGCCATCTGGAGACCAACCAAAATGCGCCACATCACCCCCTACTCGATCTGCGTCTCGATACCGCTTGGCACCCGTGATGTGGCGCTGACTGGTTGGTATCCAGACGATGAACTGTGTTTGATGTCCGCACATAATAATCTCTCCACATAATTAGTAAATCATCTCATAATTGTCTTTATTAAAGTCGCCAATTAGATCAAGAATGAGTTGAATGTTTTGCAAAGAGATGTCTCCATGATGTAGGGGAGTGCAAGTTTCCTTTATACATCAACAATTCTTATTTCACCATTTACTTTGCCAAAATTTAGTCACCAAATAGGCTCTGAGGTTTCTATTGTAAAGTCATCATTAAGAGATGCCACATCTTCTTTAGATGACAAATTCAATGTCATGCATGTGAATAGAACTTGCCAACCTTAATATATTGAAATCACAAAATCATTATAATATATTTTTTAAACTATTCCTGGTGTGGTGCTTTTTTTTTTTTGAAGATTTCTGAGGAAATAAATCCATTAGAACTTTCAATGGATTTCTAACGGAATTAAAAAATTTCTTAAAAAAGAAATATTATAAATATTTAAAATCATTTGTTTTGTCAATAGATATTGTTAAATCTTTTTAAAAATTCATTAATTTCATAATTTATTTTCAAATTAAAAATAAATTAATTAATTAAATTAAATAAACTATTTTTAAAGTGGGATGGGTATTAAAAATAATCTTAACATATAATGTATACAAATATTATTAAAAAGTATAATTTAAATTTAAAAAAAAAAAGTAGTTTGCATGACAGAGTATGAACCGTAGCTTAATGGATAAGCGTTGGGGGTTCGTGCAGGACGCGGGTTTCGAATCTCAGCATAGGCGATGGTGGTAGTAGAGTAATCTAAAGAAATGTGAAAATGATTTATGACTCTATCAATCCCTAAATAATACTTAGGATTTCTTTGATATAAAAATTATGAAAATCCCACTAAATATATGCAAGTATACATGCTAAATCAAATAATATAGTAATAAAGTACAAAATATATATCCCACGAGAAAAAATGTTTACTTGTAAATACTAGTACTGTCTACTATAATTACAATAATTAACCTACTCAATAAAAATAAGTTTTGGTAAAGATTTAATCAATTAGTTTAAAATCATTAAAACTTTTAAATGAAACAATATTTAGATAAAATATTTTGGATTGATGGAATATAAATATAATATATTTTCTTATAATTCTCTTTTATATTGATGCTATTCAAAACATATGCATTACCGACTGCTCAATCAAGCGTGAAGAGACAAAAGACAGATTAAACTTTTCCAACCTTAATATCATAACCATCATAGTATATCACCCTATAAAAATTTCAGAAGAATAACTAAAGCATGTACTATTAAAAACTTCTCATTATAATTCATCTCTATAAATTTGGAATATGTCATGCACTCTGCCTATGCTTGTATCATATCAATCCAATATGCATGATTGTGCCTATTTTTTAATTCCTAGGCTCCACATTGCACTTGATATTAACTACACATATGACCACTATGTGCATTAAATGAAGATCTAATATATTAAAAATATCATTAAATTATTGATTAAGAGAATTCATTAATATTCCATATTCTATTTACACAATCAATTCAAAACTAGAGAATTTAGCCAAAAATGAAAACTAAGTGAAGCAAACTCATTTTCATTAATTACATAAAAAATATACTACATAGAAAAGATACCATTGGATGGGTTCAATAATGATCTCCTCTACATTCATTCTTGAACTTACAGAATTGATTCCGCAAACATTAACAAAATATTCTACTCCCCAAGTTATCTACTAAAAATGCAAATTAGATTTATATTGGTTTAGCCTATCGACCTACGTCTACTCCCCAAGTTATCTACTAAAAATTCCACTAAACTCTCTTATTTTATTCCACATAAGGTGGGGAAGCCTTTCTCTTTCATAGTATATTAGGGAAAACCCTACAACTCTTTTTCTCTACAAATAACAAGACTATTATAGCCCACCAACTAGTCTCCCATTATAAGAAGAATTTTCACATGATCGATATATCTCTAACAATTAACTTACAAAAACTCATAAACTAGAACATTAGGCTCACAAACTCAGAGATCAAATATATGATTTGAGTAAAATAATAATAGGTGCATAAGCTCACCCAAAGATCTCTCTTTTCCGGGTGGAAAATAAAAAATCAAGAGAAGTAGCAAGAAGAATTTTTTCTCCCCGAAACTCTTAGGTAACAATAGCTGCAACACATTTTAGGTTTAATAAAAAGACATTTTTATTAAGTTGTTTAATTACCAACCCTAAATAGCTTAATTAATTTTTTTTTTGCCCAATTATATAGTGTGATCATATGATTGTATAGTATGATTAGTTCATTTAGCTAATTTCTTAGAAAATTTGATATGATTGTCTAATCAGGTCATATAGTACGCTCTTATTCACATAGATTTGATTTTAATTTACTTATGGATATGTTTAATTAAATTAATTGTTTATGTCATCATATAGTACTATTTATACCGTACAATATAATTAGTTTAATTTATGAATTGAATTAATTAAGGTAAGAAGCATATGGAACTTATGCAATTTAATATATTTCCTAAACCCTAATGAAGGAATGTTCCAACTAATTTTATTAATTTAGTTTATATTCCAATCTTCATTAAGTAGCCGTCCATACAAATTCTCTAAAAATAAAAAAAATTAAACGTCTATATGATTTAGAATTTAAATATTAAAACTCAAAACTTAATTATTTCTTCTTGAGTAAGCTCTTATGATGGAACAATTATTACGTCCTCTGACCGGACGTAGAGGAACGTTCGATCGGAGGCCAAATCCCGCCAAAAAACGAAAAATACCGAGCAATACCAAACAATAACGAGGAATACCATCACGTGAAGACCCAATACCGAGTTATACCGAGCAATACCGAGTTATACAAAAGTTGTACCTAGTTTTTCCTAGCAAAAACTCAGTACAACTCGGTATTGCTCTGTATAGGTCGGTATAACTCGGTATTGGTCTTCACAGAGCGGTATTCCTCGTTATTATCAAATAATACATAGCAATAATTACACAATTCAGAGATCACACATATGATTTGAGGAAAATAATAATAGGTGCATAAGCTCACACAAATATCTATATTTTTTGGGTGGAAAATAAAAAATCAAGAGAAGTAGTCAGAATATATTTTTTCTCTCCAAAGCTCTCAGGTAACAACAGACACAATATATTTTTGGGTTAATAAAAAGATATTTATATTAAGTTGTTGAATTTTGAAACCTAAATAGCTTTATTAAAAATTTTGGCCTAATTACATAATATGATCGTATGATTGTATAGTATGATTAGTTCATTCAACTAATTTCCGAGAAAACTTATCTCAAATTAATATGATTGTCTAATTAGGTCATATAGTATGATCTTATTCACCCAAATTTGATTTTAATTTAGTTATGGATATGCTTAATGAGGTTAATTTTTTTATGTCATCATATAGTACTATTTATATCGTACAATATAATTAGTTTAATTTGTGAACTAAATTAATTAAGGTAAGGAGCATAATGAGCTTATGCAATTTAATTATAATTTATTATCCAATATGTTTAATTTAAAGTTTTTTTTATTTTGAAATTTCTAGCAATAAATATGACTTGATCTTACAGTAAAAAAAAAAATGCCATGCACATCATACAATATGATCACACCATCATATCATACAATTACCAACAAATTATGTTGCTTGATTAACAATTTTAAATATATATTTAAATTATTTTATCTTAATTATATTCTCGTATATGTGTGCTTGATTATTTTACATCAATTATTTACGAAGCACATCAAAGAAGATACAACTTAAAAATAAAATTATAAATTTTAGATTCTTTGGCATTTTTTTCTATCTTGATGGCTTTAAATTTTGTATAGATTCTTTGGAGCTAAAATTTCTCCAAAGTTTTCTATCCTTTAAAAGCTAAAATTTTCATTTGCATACAAACAATATTTATAGAGTTACAATAACCATAATTATTTTAGAAGAAGATATAAGTTTTAGAGGGAAAAGAGGTGGGTGGCTATTAATGAAGAAATGTGCCAACTAATTTTATTAATTTATTTTATGTTCCAATATTCATTAAGTAGCCCTCTATACAAATTCTCTAAAAAAAAGTAAATAAACTTCTATATGATTTGAAATTTAAATATTAAAACTCAAAATTTAACTATTTCTTCTTGAGTGGGCTCTGGTGATAAGCTTTGATTCGACTCTTACTTTAGTACTTTTTGGATTATTAACTTCATTTTTTTTACGCAATTAATGTGCTACATCACTTATTCAAAGTTTATGGTCATATTAGTTAGGGTAGATCCTAAGGTAACTTTACATTTAACCAATTAGGGTTATGGTTGATGCAGGCTAGGCCAATTATGCTCAATGGTACAATTTGGAATTGGTCAAATTTCAAGCAAAATTTTAAATACTCTTGATGGTATTTCAAATTTGAAACAAAAAGAAATTTTTACTATGGTTTCTCTTAGATTTGGTCAATTATTATCATATGGATGGATAGTTATATTTTGTTTAATAAAATTTTATAAAACTATGAAGCTTATTTTTTGAAAGGTAATGTTATCATTTTCAATTATATAGTTTAAATTAGGATGAAAAATGCTTATTAGTTTTCTTGGCTTTTCATATTAAAAAAATATAACAAAAATAATCTTGTAGGATGCAATACATAACACTCAAAATTATAATATTTTTATATTTAACCTTTAAAATTTACTATGTACATAGATACCATGTAGAATATTAAATAAAAAAAAAAATAAGATTATTCTCACTCTTTTCGTTATAATGTCATCATTAATGACGATGAAGAGGTTGGCGGTGAAATCAATGAGATAAACAAGATTTTGATAAGGGATGGACGAGCTACATAAGTATAGGCGGAGAAAAAGATGGCGAGGGCATTACGTAAAGTTGGATGCATGCCGCCCTTCCCAACGAGATTCCACCCCTTCTTTGTCGGTGGAAACTGCTAGATGACACCATGGAGAGAGGTTTTGGTCAAATCCCCTTCCTAGCATTGACTTCCTTTTTATTAACATAATACAACAATAACAACATCAAGCTTTTATACCACTACGTGGGTTCAGTTACATGAATATTTTTTTTCTCCATTGTGTTATGTTGAGTCAAATTCTCATTTAAATCTAATAAAAAAAGTTATTTCTAATATCTTGTAACCAAACCTTTTTATGTCTACCTCTCGCTTTCTTAACATAAGTCAAATCTAATACATCTACTCTCCTAATCGTGATATCAAAAGGCCGCCGTTTTATGCGACCAAACTATCAAAGGGACTCTAATCTTATCTTCTACTAAATCTACTCCAACATTTTCACGAATATCCTCATTTCGTATCCTCTCTAAGAGTAAAAGTCACTCATCTCTACAACACTTAATTTAATTTTATGCTTCTAAAAAATAATTAAATTTAGATGTTAAATATATAAATATTTTAATTTCAAACTATTTTGAATCTCTCAACAATCTTTATATTTAGTTTTGAATGCATTCTGAAATATTTATGACAAATGTTACTATTTTTGAAAGAAAAAAAGAGAGGATTTTTAACTATCTGGTGATTGGTTTCATCGATATTTGGCGATTAATCTTATATTGATTAGTGTATGCATCAAATGTTTTTATTTTAATTTTCGGGTTGTCTGTTTGTCGACGCTCATCGGCGCGGAGCTCCGACAACGAGGTGAGAAGGAAGCCGCCGGAGGTGGAAGAGCAGTGGCGATGCCCGCGAAGAACTTCAGGAAGAGACGACTTGAACAAGATGAACTTGGGACCGAATCCGAGGATGAAGACGACCGCAGGTAGGACAATAACGTGAAATAAGAGTAGGGTTTCTGTTATTAGTTTCTTCTTCTACTACTACTGTCTGAATATCGGGGAGGAATATGAACATCTAGGATGGCGTTGGAGGAGGTAATGTTTCTCCAAAAGCAGCGGGAGAGGAAGACTGGCATTTCGGCTCTTCCGAGTGCACAAACTGGAAATAGCGGCCTCGTCCGCTCCGGAGACAAGGCCGAGGGCGATGGGGAGAAGGAGGATCTCGTCCTGCAGGATACTTTCGCACAGGAAACCGCCGTTATCGTTGAGGATCCCAACATGTAAGGATCCGTAATTTAGTGCCTCATTCTAGTCATTTATAGGACCGAGGTATACTTAATCCTGTATAATGTGAAGGCTAAAGTATGTAGATCAAGAACTCGCGAAGCAAAGAGGCAAGAAGATCGATTCTGGTAAGAAAGAGGATAAAGATCCCATGGACGAGCTATATGCCATACCGGAGCATCTAAAGGCGAGTTTTTTTCCCCCTTTTTCTTAAATTATTTGTGAAATTGGAGAAGTTAGGTGTTTTGTCATCCATTGTCAGCTATGAGGCCTAGGTAGCTTGGATTAGAAGTGAATTGTTTCTACTGCACTCATTTTAGGTGAAAAAAAGGAATTCAGAGGAAAGTTCTACGCAGTGGACCACTGGAATCGCGGAAATTCAACTTCCCATCGAGTAAGTTATTTATGGCCTATTCCATCTCTCTCTCGCTGGTGCATGTGCTTGTTTGTGCGTGCGAATGCACGCTTGTATGCATTTCTAGTCTTATCTCTTTCTCCCTAAACTTGATCTTTCAATTGCTCGTTTAGTGGATATACAGCCAAGATTGCAGCTTTAGCTCTAAGTAATGGTACCAAGTTGCCATTTGCTTCATAATCGTGCATATTTTCGTTCAAATTGATGAGAAGAGAGAATTTTATTGTGAGCTTCAAGAACGTCTGAATTCGGGCATTTTGAATCCAGGGAAAGCCTATTATTTGAAGTAGCAAGGAATTTTTATCCATATCACGCTATCCAGGAGTAACAAAAGTGAACCACTTGTGAGGAGGAAATAAGAACATTTCTCTAGTAGAAGTTGAATTGATTCCTTTTCATCAAGACTCATTTATCCACTTATGCATTAATACTCAAAGGCTACTCATTCATTCTTGATGTTTCTAACAACGAGAACATTTATATCATGGTGTTGAGTTGAAAGTCATTTAATGAGATTTAGGCTTTGTTTGAGATGATTTTTTTACTGCTTAAAAAAGCAGTAAGAAAGCCGTCCCACACGAAGTCTTATTCTGGATATGTAAATTTTCATCACAATGAGAAGCGGATAGATGCTTGGCTACAACGTTCAATGTACTTTAATTGGATTGCCCTTAGATCATATTTTGAAATTTGAAGATTACAGTGCTTCATGAAAACCAGAACCTGATGTTGAGCATTAAATAACATAACTGCTCTTGTTGATTGTTAAGACTTATACTGATAACTTTAAATTCTTTGATAATTTTCACAATAGAGAGAGGCTTATGCACTGGGTGGACTGCGGGGGAGGGTGCGGACAACCTTCTATAGTATAGATAGCTACATTGGGTTTTAGCTTTATAGCCATGAGCAAGGGGAAGATGCTTCACTTAACCCTCAATATTCCTGATGGGGGTTTGGGAACCTTTTTCTAAGTGATAAATCTGATTTTGGAGATGAAAGTCCAACATTTTTTCCATTTCTTTGAGATAGTTAATATCTCAAAGAAGCTGCTTCACTTAACCCTTGATATCCTTGATGGAGGTTTGCGAACCTTCTTGTAAGTGATAAATCTAATTTTGGAGATGAAAGCCCAACCTTTTTTTCCTCTTCTTTGAGATAGTTGATATCCTTTAGAGTGTTTGCAAGTGGTTCCCTTGGTGGGGTGCCTTGCTGATGAAGTAGCAGATGCACCGTGGCATGCACCAATGCTGGAATAGTGGACGAGAAGTTGCTTAGATGCAAGCAACAAATCTCTATGAATTAGCACAGGAAATGAAGCCGGTGAGGGAATGGGTGATGCAGCTGGGTTCCATAATGCCGATGATGGACCTTGCTTGCGAGAAGGTGTTGACACAAATATTCTTCAGCTGCTCCTCACCCTTCTTCTTGCCTCCAGTACATGTTCCTGTTTGCAATGGAGAGAAGGCTGGCTAAGATGGATTGGGATACCTATTTGCTTTATTGCATTGAATTGCATCATTGTTTCTTTAAATTTAATTTCACACTTCTCCATGGAACGTGCTTATGTTACTGTGATATCTGCATTTCTGTGTTGTTAGCAATTGGATTAAAGGTTGATTTGCTCAGTAATGGAGTCTAATATCATTAAATATGCAAATGTGGAGTATGATTTCTTGGTAATCAGGTTGGTCCATGATTTCACTCCCTTTTATCTATTTTATTGCATCCATAAATCTGTAATTATGCTGATCCACATCTTGCTATAGATCAGCTTAAGTTCCTGATTTGAACTTATTTCGTTAAGGTATTCGTTGATTTTTTGTTATAGGTGTTATCACTTTTCAAAAAGAATTATGCACTGATGGGATTCCTTTATATTAGAACTGTATGTTTATTTGCAATAGTCTTCAGGTACAAGTTGAGGAATATTGAAGAGACTGAGGCGGCCAAGAAGATTCTGCAAGAAAAAAGGCTTACAGGTAGAACAAAATCAGAATCAAGCATTCCTTCAAGTTACAGTGCAGATTATTTTCATCGTGGCAGAGATTATGCTGAAAAACTTCGGAAAGGTTAGTCACGTGCACACTTATTTTTAATTTTGATAGAATGATATCTTGCTTGGTATTTGGATCACTTCAGTAAAAATAACACTCAAGTATTCTGCTCTAATTATTTTTGCAAGCTTAATTGCTTGCCTGTTATATATTTTTTCAGTAGAAAGAACACTTAAGAAACTCTAGTTTCCCTATTTTGGTGTGCAAGTGACCACGTCAGCTTTCTTTTTGCAAGCATTCTTTTGTAGCTTCCTTTCCTATTGTGATATCGCAACTTTGTGTTGCTTTAATTTGGGAGAGGGAATTCCAATGGGTTTTTGCACTTAGGAGTTTTGAGCATGGAAAAAACACAAAAAACCTAGTTCCAAATATAGTTACAGTTAGATACTTGGATGTATTATTCCTTCTAATTGGAAAACTCAACTCCTTTATCAAGTGAGAGAGTTTTGAGAGAGGATGCACCACAGCAGCTTTCTTTTAGTAAGTATTCTTTTGTGGCTTCCTTTGCTATTGAGATATTGCGACTTTGTGTTGCTTTAATTTGTGAAAGGGAATCCTAATGGGTTTTCTAATTAGGTGTCAACTCCTTAATAAGTGAAAGATGTCCAATTAGATGTACTACAACTTGGGAAAAAAGTTACAGTTAGATGTACTACTACTTGGGAAAGTCAACTCCTTAACAAGTGAAAGATGAAGTCAACTCCTTAACAAGTGAAAGATGGTTTTGAGAGAGGATAATTTCTCATATGAGTATGAGAATTGATTCTTTTGTTTTTAGTGATTTTGTTCTTTCTATTTAAATTATTGCTCTAAATTTTATTATTAGATTTAGTTTATGATTGATTGCACTCAAATTTGATATAATACAATTTTCAAAAATTGCATAGATTTCAACTAGATAGGTAGCTTTCTTGGTTATACAATTCTATTAATTATTTTGAATAGAAGGTCTTTCGTCTTAGTTGATTTTTGTTATTTTTTTGGTTATCAATGCAAGTAATGAACAAGTGTTAAAAAAATTAAAGATTGTGACATTGAATTTTATGTGTTTGTTGCATTTCTATATTTCATAGTAGATCTGCTTTAGAAATGTTAGAGCTAAATACATTCTACATATCATTTGGCATCAGTGCTTAATGATATATTCTAGATATAGGATCTAATATCAGGGTAAGTTAACAACACTAAATTAGCAATTTAAATAAATCCATTTAACTATGATTCTAAACAATTTCAACATAATGATTAAGAAGTTAAGAATTATATTCTTACATTTATTTAGAGTCATAATCTTAGAGTATTTTTAGATCGGATATGTTAAAACAATAGGTTTGAGAGGGAAAAACTTGGCTTTATTCCGTAATATCTTTCATATTTATAGATCTATACAATATATCTTAATGAGGAAACAATAAATTACAGATTTAATACATAAAATCCCTAATATACTCTTTCATAAATTAGTGATGGGGGCATCGACAGCGATTTCGACACATGTACCTTCAAGAGATGCCGGAGATCGACGGCCACGATCATGATTTGTATTTTCATCATTTTATGTAATAGTTTATTTTTATTTTATGTTTTTCCGTTTTTGCCCTTATGGGTATTTGGTAGCTATTGTAGCCCAAGGGGCATTTTAGTCTTTTGTTTTTCTTTGTCATTGTGAGGCCTATTTATATGGCCCTTCTCTTGTAATAATTAGTTTTTGATGAATTAAAATTATTTGCCACTTATGATCTCTTTGTGAGTTCACCCTCGATCTCTTAGTGAGTTCGCAGGAGAAGCTAGATCTCTTTGTGAGTTCTAGATCTTCTTGTTCTACCATTTTTTTTCTTCCTTTATTTCTTGTGATCGATTCGTCGTCGTGGAAATCCGGTTGAAGCATTTGTGAAAAGTGGAATCCACGCTTGAATTCCAAGATTTTCCCCTACTGATTGCCCTCTCTTGCTCACTGCCGCCGCCCCTCTCTGGTTTGCCCAGGCCGCCGGTGTAAAACCCTTAAAAAAAAGAGCTGATTTTTTTTAGTGCTGTTAGTCCCGTACGAACTGGCCTTAGTCCCGGACGAACTGAAGAAAATTGTGAAAAATCTGTCATTTTAGTCTATACGAACCTAGAAGGGTCGGGACGAACCGTCGGGACGAACTGAACTAGAGAGTTTCGTCCAGGGACGAAATAAATTGGAATTAATTTCGTCTGTACGATCCGTGTCCAGAGGAGTTCGTCCCGATACGATCTGGACATCGTCCTGGACGATCCTGCTTGATAAATATCCAATTTGAGATATTTTGGATTATTTTGAGGAGAGAGAAAGAGAAGAAGAAGCTGGGTTTTGGAGCCCGAGGAGCACTTTTCGTCCGACGACGCAGTTGGAAGATTTGTTTATCTCGCAGTAAGGACTCCGAATCCTATTTCTGATTTTGAAGATTTCGAGTTTTGATAATTCTGTGCTCAATTTTGTGTTTTCATTACCGAATAACGCGCATAATTTTGTATTGACGAAAGTTTTACCGCACAACTTTTGATATGTTTATGATATGATATTTTTATACGATTTGAGTATTTTCTGTAAAGTTTTCACCGGATATTTTGAGTTCTGTGCAGTTTTTATCGAATAGGAAATTATCATGATGTTGAAAAATGTTGCTTCAGTACAAGTTAAGCTTTGAAACATTGTTTTATTCGATTTCTGGTAATTTGGTAATTTTCGGGAACTGTGCATTTTGAAACGACGTCTGTCTACTATATGATATTTTAAGGATTTTTTCTACATTGAGCTACATTGAATTTATTGATTGTAATATCTTATTGATATGCATATGAATGTGAATATATGATTGAATTATTATTATTGTTACTGAAAGACAAGTGAAGACTGGTTGAACCGTTGGTTTTAAAAGACACGGAGCTGACACAGCCTCCCCCACAAACAAAACAGAACACGCATTAACAACACAACCCAAAAGACCACCAGCACTAGCACAAGCCCGAGAGACCTGAATAGAAGGTAAGACCCCATCCACATTATCCACAGAAACCTTCACATTAGACCCAGCAGCAAACTTTAACATAAGGTACTTACATATTAGAATGTGTATATTAATGAATTCAATCTTATCACATGTAAATTAAATTTGGTTAATACTAATTTTATTCATTAAATTTATTTCTTAGGAATAAGTTCAAAAGGAAAGTATAAATTCCATGAGATTTATTGTATTTTTTATTTATAACTATTCAAGTAATTCCAATTATTTGAATTTCAATCTATTAACTCGATTAGATTCATACTATCATGAGCGATGAAACAACACAATACATTTGCTTGTTCAATTAGTCATTCTTTCATCAAACTATCATCGTTTCTTGACAAATTGTCCAGATAGGCAGAGGTCTAGTTAGGTCCATTGACCCTTTTTATGATAATGCCTTTATCTAAGATGTGTTCAGTCTAAACTATTTTATGTTTAGTGTGAATTTCAAATATTCTAATAAAAGCTAATGTTGTACTTCAAAATTTATAAATTAGTCATAATTCCATATGTTTAAATATACAAAATGCATATAAAATATATTTGAAACTATTCTCCCAAATATAACAAATTATATAAAAAATACTCATTTTTTTTAATTATGAAATACTTTTCTATATTACTGAACCCAATCCACACTCACAACTGTCACTTATCTAAATCAAACACAGCCGGCCATAAACTTTATGCAAGTTGGCATCCAATCAATCTAATATTCTCAATTGCTTCAAACTTGTCATCTCTACCAACGTTCCATCATTTGATTGGCTTATAGGATTACAGACATGTCAAATCAGCGCGTCACATGAAAAAGATCATTTTGTTCGGACACCGAACGCCGTACAGAGGCGAATCAAAGCGTGTCACGTCACCCTTTTGCTATGCACTGCAGATGTATACTAGGTGACGTGACGTATTCTGATTCACCTCTGAATAATTTAGTATCATCACAGAATAATTTCTCCTCAAATGACCACTTCATTTGACTCATTTTCATGTTAAGCAATTGAACGCATACCCTTCCAAGTAGCCGTTTTCTTCAAACCATCACTCAATTGCGAAAATAATAATAATAAATTTTAAAAAAAAGCTATTAACAAACAAACAAATGAGTCATGGCTCTTTAAATACGTCCGACTTCCCTTAATTTCCTGCTGGCACCGCCTACCTTTTTATTTGAGAGAGACAAGCGGCGAAAACTTGTATGCACCAATGATACGTAGATATTCATATAAAATACGGCTTGGTACCGCCTGATTTTCCTTAAGATTCGTGAATGATAGTTTATTATTATCTTGAAACAGTAGTGGGCCCATGCATTTATAGTGAAGCTGTGAAGGCAGTTTAAGCCATTGAAAACAAGACAATCCTTTTCCTATCAAATCAAAAAGTGGAGGGGGCCCAACTCCAACCACATTGCATATTTGCATGTGCGTCCATTCATTGCCTTTTCTTCTCCCTCCACTTACTTCCCCTTCGCTCTTTAATTCTACCTTTTTATACTTTTGGCTTATTTGACTCAAAATAAATATTGAAAAATAGTGTAATAAATTTTATTTTATTTTTTTATGCTCAAAAAATATAATGTAAAAATAAAGTTAAAGTAAATCTCAAATCCCATGTAATTAAAACATATTTCAATTTATGGTATAAATGACTTGAGTCGTGTCGATTTCTTGCTTAATTGAGCCCCGATCGTTTGGCTTATACTGAACTTGAGTGAAAAGTATGATTCTAAAGCTAGACTTGAAATCTTGCGCTAGATAAGAAAGCATAATTTTGACTCATTGTAGAGCTCAATTTTAGCTCACTTATATATAGGGGTGTCAATATTTGACACGACCCGAAACCCGACTTGAACCTGACCCGAAATTTTCGGGTTAGGGCCAACCCGAACCCAAAACGGGTCAGGTTCGAGTTAACCCTTTGACCTGAAATTGACCCGAAAACCCGATTTTTACCCGGCAACCAGAGATTCACCCGTTTTT